TGTACTTCTTGTTAAAATCAAAGTGTTGTAGCACCATTATAGGAGGAGAGTATAACAAATAAATATGATCAAACCCAACGGAGAATTCAAATCAAGGAGAGAATCAACAAACTGGAGATAATCGTGATTATTCAGAAAATTAAGAAGTTTATTCTGAAGTGATTCCTAAATATGAGTCTAATTATCCACCATTAGTCAAATGGACAAAAGATCATCAAAATCACAAGTTATTGGTGAAATTTCAATTGATATTCTTATTAGAGCTCAACAAAGGGAGAAGCATGGATTATTGAATACAAACCAAGATTTTTGTATGTTTAGTTCTTTTATATCCAAAACCGAACCAAATACTGTGAAAATTGAACTTAATCATTCTGATTGGGTTGAAGCAATGCAAACTGAGTTAACCATTTTTTAAAGAAATAAGGTTTGGAAATTAATTCGAACACCTCCAAATGCTTTATCCGTAGGTTTGAAATGGGTATTCGCAACAAGTTAGATAAAAAAAGGTAATGTTGTGTAATATAAGGAAAGTCTCATAGTGAAAGGATATTGCCAGGAAGAAGGAATTGACTATGAAGAGACATTTGCTCCAGTTGCGTGACTGGAATATGTTTGCATTTTCTTGGCATATATTGCTCACACGAATTTTGAATTTTTTCAAATGGACGTAAAATGTGCATTTCTCAATGGAGAACTTGAAGAGAATTTTTATATTGAACAACCACTACGTTTTGTTAATTAAAACTATCCATATCATTTGTATATACATGATAAAGTTATGTATGGTCTTAAACAAGCTCCTTGTCCGTGGAATGAAAATCTTGCTCGTTTTCTTAAGTAATCTAAGTTTAAAAAAAGTTTTTTTGACCCTACTTTCTTTCTCAAGAAGGATGGTGATCATTTGATGTTTGTCTAAATTTATGTTGATATTATTTTCGGTTCAACAAATCCTAAGTTGATTGCTGAATTTTGAAAATTAATGGAAACTAAATTTGAGATGAGCTCAATGGGTCCGATTAATCTTTTTTTATTGGACTGAATATTAGACAGAGAAAAGATGGGATTTTCATAAACCAGTAAGCTTTCACAAAGTCCTTTCTTACAAAATTTGGCATGGATAAAGATATGAAAATCAAAACACCAATGGCGTTCGAAATTTAGCTAACACATTCATTTGATAAAACTGCAGTTGATCTTACATTGTATCGACAAAATATTGGGTCATTACTTTATTTAACATCTAGTAGACCCAAAATAATTTCTGATGTTTGCTATTGTGAGAGATATTAAGAAAATCCAAGAGAACCTCACATGACTAAATAGAAGAACATTTTTAGATATCTTTACATAACCATTTCTTTAGGATTGTGGTATCCTTCTAATACCGTATTCTTTGTGCAGGTTTATTCTAATGCGGATCTTGGTGGGTGTGGACTTGATCATAAAAGTATGACTAGTGGATGTCAATTTCTTGATGAGAGACTTGTTACTTAGCAATCAGAGAAACAAACATGTGTTTCATTGTCTGCTGCAGAAGCTGAATATATTGTTGTTGCTACTTGCATGTTGCAAATTATTTTTATTAAAATCCAACTACAAGATTATGTTCTAAATATGAAAAAGATCTCATTATATTGCGATTCGAAGAGTACTATTCACATATGTCACAATCCTATACAACCTTCAAAGACAAATCATATCACTTTGCGATATCGTTTTATTAAGGATCATGTGGAAGATGGGAATGTAAAAGTTCACTTTGTTAGATATGTTGATCAATTAGCAGCAGTGTTGTAAAACTCGCTGAGTTGGCCGATTACTCATCCGAGTACTCGCTACTCGGCCCCTTACCGAGGCGAGTTACAGAATCCCGAGTAATCCCCGATCGGCCCCTTACTGACTGAGCAATATTGTAAAACTCGGTCAACTCAGTGATTAATATGTATAATATACTAAATGATTTATTATTTAACACACACACACATGTAATTATTAATACATAAATATCTTAAATTTTTAGTAATTACTCACGAAGTGAGACCATTATGTCTATTTCAATTTTTGTGTATTCAAATTTATCTAATTTTTTTGTATATTTCAATCAACTTATGGTTTTAACTTATGATTTTGACATATATAATTTCCCTAAAAATATTTCTACATGAATTACCAAATCCGAGTACTCCCTGAGTACTCGCTACTTAATAGTCGGCCGAACAGGTACCGAGTAACGAGTTCTACAACCTTGATTAGCAGACATATTCACAAAAGCTTTACCAAAAGCAACTTTCAATCGAATTATTCAAGTTTTGGGAATGATGGAAGAATAATCTCTTCCAAATTCTATCTCAAAATGAAACTACGAAGAGTTAATGTGTATATGCCATGGGATACGAGCACTGGCAGGGCATCGCAACAACTACTTGTTCTTATTTTCGTTATTCATAATTTTCTCATTTCTTATAGCTATTGTTCATCTGCGACTGACTGTGAACGTTCATAACTCTTCGTAGTCGTAGTTTGTTTGTTTTTTTACTTTTAGTTATTTTGATTAATGTTCAATTGTGATGACCTGCGATCAGTCATAGCCCATCGTAGTTAAATTTTTTGTTTCTTAAAAATTTTCAAAAATCCAAAAATATTTTTCTTTCTTAAAAAAATTTTAAAATCAAAAAGATTTTGTATTCCTAAATTTTTTTGAAAAATCCAAAAATATTTTCTTTTTCTTTAAATTTTGAAAAATGAAGAAGGGTTTCTTTGTAAACATTAATTTGTTCTATTCTATAACAAGGAATTGACGGTGAACGCATGTTCAAGTATGAAACTAAGGAATTCACGAGAACAATGTTTTGTTTTGCAATGACATGAACATTAAATGTCCCTATAATCATTTTGCAACACGTTGTCCTAAGTCTTATAGATTCTCTGTTTGTGAAGCCTTAATGAAATTTCTTGATTTAAAGAATTTCTTCCCAATACGCTGTATTAGCAGAAATTGTCGAGCTACCTTTCTCTACTCATGTTCAGAGTTTAGAGATGTTTTCTTGGTCACTAGAGGTACAATGATTCTTCTTAAGCAAAATTTGAAACCCTTGACCTCTCATTTTAAACCAACTTAAACATATGCTTCATAATTTCTAAACCATTATGAACTGACGGTGAATTGAAAAATTCTAGCGTGAAGCTAATGAATTGACGGTGAATTGCAAAATTCTAGCAAGAAACTATGGATTAACGGAGAAACGCTTTATGTTTCACTAAGCCTTAGTATAATGTTCAAAATCTCATAATTCATTCATTAACGAGATCTTAATGAGACTAATTTATTCCAAATCGTTTCTTCCAAATGGATCAATATTTTATTTTCTGAGTTATGAGATTTCGTTTGAACATTTTCAATCATTTTGTAAGTCATATCTTACTACTCATTTTTAATTGGTTACACTAATCATTCAAGGTTTTTCTTTCATATCACTACACTTATGTTAAGTTGCATATATGTTTCAACACTAGCCTACCTTTTAAACCAATTAAAAGAGGCTCTTTGTAACTTCTTCACAAGTTGACGATTGTAACTCAACAGGAAACCACATTGACACTTCAAGGTCTCTCTTGACTTTAAAGGAAGAAAAACTTTGCCCTAAATCACACTGTTTTCATATCAAAATTTATTTTTGATATCACACATTCCGATAATTTTTGTTTGGTTATATCTTTTTCTTTAGCACACTCTTGCACTTGAAATACTCAAGGTTTCAAGTACAAACAACTTAAACAAAGATTTCGTAGTTTTCGTTTATGATTCTAATCATTATTACCATGATTGTGATTAGACTCTTCTTTAACCTGTTCTGGTTACGATATCGAATTTTATTAAGGTAACACATGTTGTAATTCCAATGGATACTATTTCAATATAGTCAATATTGAAGGGTGGACTTAGTGCTTACGAAATTGATGCAAAGCGAATTGGCATGTTTCTATGTTGTGAGCAAATTTTTTTTTGTGATTATGCGAAGAATTTTCTATGAACATATTATTATACAATTTTTTTTATTTCAATTGAAGATATGCTGAGCTAGAAAGTTCTTATTGGACATCTTTAACGTGATGATGGGCTTGGTACTCAAGTCTGACGTGGGATTGGATGGGTAATTATGGCATGACTTTGGCAATTTCTCTTTTCTAGACTCCTAGACTTTTCAAATTCAAAATCGACGTTTTCCATTCCACTACGTATAAATACCCAAGTTGCTTACAGTTAATCTCTTTACGCTTTCAGACAATTGAGCATTGCAAGAAATTCTTCTCCATTCTTCAATTCTCTATGTATTTTCCTTAATTAATTCACAAATGGAGTCTTCTTCAGATCATATTTCCTTTATTGATCAATTTTCTTTTTCTATTCATCCCATTGTTAGGCATAATTAGAATATGATTGCTGATCTCGATACCTTTAAGTATTCAACTGATGTTCAATCGATAATTGAATGTCTTAATCATTCAATTTTGAAGATGGAATTAACTCATCACGAAGATGTTCCTCTTCATTCCCTAATTCTGGCTTACACTACTGCAAGCTAGAATAAGAAGATGAATGTGATGAATTTTAAAGTTTAAGGGCATAAGACTACAATTACCAAGATGGACTTCCTCAAACTGTTAAGATTGAAAACTGGTGATACGTATACAAACCCTTAATTGGTTTCTTCTTCAACCATACTTAGGGTATATCATTAGATGGGATATAAAGATAATTTGTTCATGTTTTAAAAGTACAAGAAGTCTTCTCTGCCACTAGTTTGGAATATCCTATTTACTTTATTATTTCGATGCTTTTCAGAAAGGGTTACATGTTCTGGTAATGAAAAAAAGTTAGTCCACACTCTATGATACACCTAGTATATAGACGAGAAGGTTGACTTAGGTCAAATTCTCTAGGTTCAGTTCACCGAAATTCCTTCTTCTTCTACAAAGGATTCAGACATCTCTTGTGCATGATTTTGTTCTATAGTAGTGAAAAATGCTCCTGGACATTTCAAAGTTCCTTAAATGGCGGATGTGAAAATCGCGAAGTTCCAGACGATGAATATTGTTACTTTTGTCACCATAGATGCGAAGAAATTTCACCACATTTGAGTATTCTAGATATGATGTAATCAAATAACTGCAACTTATAGGCAGATTTCCAAGCCTGGCGAACATTATATTTCACATGGTTTACAAGCTGCTCTGGATGCTGGCAATATTCAATGAAGGGCTAATAGAAAAAGAAAAGCTAAGGCCATTCATGAACATGTTCCTGCAAAGCAAAATCCTCAACGGAAGCTGAAAAATAAATCCAAAGTTTTTGTAGGCGATGATGATGAGGATGATGAGAACACGGTTAGTGATGTTTGCATTGAGGATGATGTCTCTGATGATGATACTGTGAGATACTCAAATCCACAAAACCTGGGGCAACCATCTAGATCAAGTGTACAAACTCAGAGTACGAACCCAAAGTCTTCGCACATTACAAAGGTATCTATTGTTTGTACGAATACTTCAACTCCGTTTCCTGTTCAGACTTAGAATGACATTTTTCAAAATATAATAAATGAGCCTATTGTGGATCTTTCTCAAACTCAATCACCACCTGTTCCACCACTTTCACAACCACCAAAAATTTCTTAACATCAAACCACTAAAATTCATATTCCCATTCCACCAATATCATCTACACTAACCACCATTCAAATTTAAACTCATATTTTGAAAGACTCCACTACTCAACCACAAACATCAAGAATTACAAATGAAACTAATCAAACTAATCATGTTCTCGAGGATGAAACACCATCAGATGATGATGATGATGATGAGATCGCATTTGAGGATGATTAAGAGGTTGAAGTTTCTGGTTCTTTTAAACCGTTTATTGAACCTGTTCTAGCTCCATCACTTTTGGATGATGAAAGCAATTTAGATGAGGTTCTACTACTTCTCCTCTTACCATGAATTAATATCAAATGTTGAACAGAAAGTTGAATGCTCTTGTTCACAGAGCAAATTCTTTTTCTCCGGCCAACTTTTCAGAATCTAATGATTGTGCATGAATCCAGGATGAAGACTATTATTTCGTCAAGCAAAGTGTATTTGATGCTCAGGAAAAGTGGATCAATGAAACTATTGAAAAGCCAATGAATCTCTTTCTATAGCTAATGTGCCTTTGGCAAAGGTTGATTCTGTTCTCACAAAGGTTCAAACTATGAAAGATTCGATTATACCTCAGAATACAAATCTTCATCAAACTATTATTGGTTCCCTAAAAAAAAAATTAACATTATGATTCATAAACAAAAATGGCAGATCTTTTGGCAGAAAAATAGAATAAAGTAAAATCTCATAAATTGGAGTTAAGGAAAATGAAAAGGGATTTTTAGAAAAACAATGAAGATTGCAACTTGATAAGTGTAGAAACTATGAAATTAACCATTGAATCATTCATATTTGTGGAAGAAAAAGATTTTCCTCATGTCAACTATATGTCTAAATGTCGGATGCAAAACTCAATCCTATCCATTCCCAACTACATGATTTAAAAGGTGTTACAAGTAGCGGGGAAACTTCGAATCAAAGAGGAGATGGATATGTTCAAGAAGATACTACTCAAGTCATTCTTACAAATCCATATGTTGCCCTTCTAGTAACCAAGAAGCATGATGCTCCAAAGGTTAATATTGTTGATAGATCACTTAGAAGGACACTAGAAGAGATCACTCTTGAATTTCCAGTCAATATGCAAGGAGATGTAGGAGCAAGTTCTATAAAGATTGTTTCGCATAATGAAGTTGATGTAACTGATGAGGAGGATGACAAGGCATCTCAATTGAAAAAGGACAAAGAACTGGAAAGAATGAAGTAATTACAAATCGAGTTAGACAGACATGGTGTTGAGAAAAGAGAAAAGAAAGCATCTGAAACTACTCTGAAAGCTTTATGGCCAAAATATACAGCTGATAGAATTTAAAATGAGGCAATAAAGAATGTTGAAAAATACTGGCTTGATTCCAATTCATCACTTGTTGTTGATAATACAAGTCACAGTTAACTAGATCTACCAATGACTGGTAGATAATTTCCCTTTAGAAGTTTTCAGCATATGAACGGAGTTCCATGTAACACCTGACTTGTAACTTCCCGACTTTAAACCCAAATTTTTTTATTTTTATATTGTTAAAATGTATTAGAGTATAATCACATTATGCTAAAAACATGATACAAATGCCCATATGTACAGTCGGTCCTTGCCCTTCTCACAAATCAATGAAGCACTAGGCTTAGTGATTTCCCCAAAATACCATATACCACAATACATATACATGTATACAAATAACGGGTCACGATATGCCTAACCATTTTGTCTTAACCATGGTTCTATGTGTACTTACGACTACATGCCATTTCATCAACATGAGTCTATGTGTATTTACAGCCCGCATGGTATATCGTTAACACGGTTCTATGTGTACTTACAGCCTACATGTCGTTTTGTCAACAAGAATCTATGCGCACTTACGGCCTACTTGTCATTTCGTTAACACATGTCTATGTGTTCTTATGACCTACTTTCCATTTCTTCAACATGGGTCTATGTGTACCTATGGCCTACTTTCAATTTCATCAACATAGGTCTATTTGTACTTACGAGATACCTGCCATGTTGTTAACACGGGTCTATGTGTACTTACGACCTACTTTCCATTTCATCAACATACGGGCCTATAGGCTACCGACCTTTTTTCGTTCCGCCATCATCCCCTAACTAAATTTGAATAGATAATTCAAATATTACAATAATTACGCACATAGAGACCGCACTTTAGACTCTACTAGAACATACATATTTATACTTTCCACTCTACCAGTTTCAAGTACATTAACATTTAAGCACATACAGATTATACATTCAACTCTACTCTACTAGCACTCTATCCTAACATACATGGACATATATTTTAATACATAGTATAGTGATACAACTCACCAGGATAATTACTCAGTTGACTATCAGTTATCCTTCGAGTGATCCAACTGACGGCAATCTGGTAGAAGTTATATTTGTCACTAGTTCAAATATACTTTCATGGTTATCAAATAAGGATTAGCTAGGCAAGAAAGTTGGGAGGCAAGACCATTTCGGCATATCGCCTTTCTAAAATCCAACAACCAAGCCAACGTGACCATTCTAGACACATTTCCAGTTAGTTAACCAATCAAAATATTTAACTAGAATTTGTAACGCCCCATTTCTGGTATGTGATTTAAATAAAGCAATTTTCATTTCTTAAGGGGTACTCGACGAGTCAGTAGCCCGACTCGTCGAGTAGAGACGGGATTTGCACACGGTTTAAGTTGGCGACTCGACGAGTCCATATTCTCGGACTCGGCGAGTCTGCCAGTCTGGATGAAACCCTAATTTCAAGGGTTTGCACCCTATTTAAACAACTTTATGCGCCCTAACCAGCCTCCATCACCCACAGAACGTCCCTTGCTAAACCCTAGCCTTCCCTTGAGCATTTTTGGAGTGTTTCTCACCTTGTGAAGGATTTTGGTGCATATTGGAGTTAGAAGAAGAAGAGAGGGGAGGAGCTTTCAAGAGGAGCATAGAAGATCCGAGTTTCTGGTGTCATTTCAGTTCCTATTGAGGTATAAAGCTTGAATCCTTGCTTATTATCATTTAGATCTCCTTATAAGCTTGCTATTGTTGTTGTTGAGCCATTTCTAGACATTGAGGTCGATTTAAGGGTAGTCAAGATAAATGGGCTTCAGATCTAAGCATTTCAGAGCTCCTTAAGCTCAAGGTTGCCACCTTTGTTGAGCTAAAATCCCATTCCAAACCTAGATCTCCTCTTTTAGCTCATTTTGGGTATTTAAGCTTCATAATGTCATGCATGCATGTAAAGTTGGAAACTTTACGTGTAAAACCAACCCTAGGAACCCAGATCTATCTTTTGGATGCTTTGGAATCGGGCAAAATCGTTTGTATAGTAATGGCATGCATGGGACTCGACGAGTTTTTCTTTAGACTCGACGAGTCGAGTCGCGAGTCCCTGATTTTTCCCCATTGAGAATTTAGGAGTGGAATCAGTGAGTGGGTTTTGGACTCGGTGAATTGAGTCACATATCTAGTAATGGAGGGACTCGGCGAGTCAACGCCCTGGCTCGGCGATTCCAAGGCAATCTTCTTACCCGCAAGAACAGACTCGACGAGTTGTTCATACAACTCGGCGAGTCGTAGACTGGACGTGTTCATATGATGAAGGAGGACTCGACGAGTTGTACATACATGTCGGCGAGTCAGATGAAGGTTGAATCATTGTTTTATAAAAGGAAAACTCGTCGAGTCTTTGCCAAACTCGACGAGTAGAGTCGGGTTGGGGAATAGAAGAAAGGATAGGGACTCGGCGAGTTGACAGCCCAACTCGACGAGTCAGGTCAACTGGCAGTTGACTTTGACCAGGAAGTTGACTTTGACCAGGGGTAAAATAGTCATTTTACCCTGAGATTAGTTATCAGTATCTGATTTAGTGTTTATGGGATTTGTAGCCGGGGAGTTCCGGAGCAGCAGTCAGACAGTTTCAGATTTAGCACATCAGCAGCCAGCGTTACGAGGTGAGTTTCCTTCCAGTAGGAACGGGTCTACGGCTACAATGTCAGCCCGTTTAGTCAGCAGTAGTTTCCGGACTTCGGTCTGATGCAGTAGTTCAGTGTGCTTGATGTCTTTGTGATTTAAGCATGTTTTGTGTTATGTGTTCCGGACTTCGGTCCGATGCAGTATGCAATATATGTGTTTATGCTAGTAGTTATGATTATGTTATGCTATGTTCAGTCAGTTTCCGGACTTCGGTCGGATGCAGAGGGCAAGGCCCTAGTTAGTTCCGGACTTCGGTCCGATGCAGTTTCCAGACTTCGGTCCGATGCAGAGGGCAAGGCCCTGGTTAGTTCCAAACTTCGGTCCGATGCAGTTTCCGGACTTCGGTCCGATGCAGTTTCCGGACTTCGGTCTGATGCAGTGGGCAAGGCCCAGTAGTTGCTTTATATGCTATTGTATGGTATGTGGTAGGTTGGGGGAGCTCACTAAACTTTGTGCTTACAGTTTCAGTTTTTGGTTTCAGGTACCTTCGCTAGTAAGGGGAAGAGCTCGGGATGATGACATGGCACACACCACAGTTTCAGTTTATCCTGGGAGTTTTATTCAGATATTTTCCACATGTTCATGATATCAGTTTTGATTTGATACATTGTTATGACTTTTTTGAGATACGCGACACATGGCTTGATTATATGATATTCGAAATTATGTTTTTAGTTAATGTTAAAACAAAAATTTTTGGATTGTATTTTTGGGATGTTTCAAGTTGGTATCAGAGCCTTGGTTTGAGGGATTCAGCCACACTTTCGAGTATGACTGGACTCAAACTAAGGAAATGGTGAAAGATTTTCAAAAGAAAAATGTTTTCGAAAGGACTTTTGAAAAAGAAACTTAAAAAGAAAAGAGTTTTGAGAAAAGGAAAAGGGTGTGGTGCATG